TTCCACGAGGAGCAGCGTATTGAAATTTTAAGTCAAGAGAATCTCACTCCGCGTTGGCGCCCTGGGGCCTCCCCTGCCCCGGATGCACGGTGCCGGTGGGCTTCTGCAGGCTTCTCAGTGTTGCCGTCTGGGGCTGGAACTGTCTTTGCCTGAGGGGTCCGTCCTGCACCGCGTAGCCTGCTCCTCCGCTTCCCAGCCCTCTGCCGTTGGAAGCCTCAGCCCCTCCCCTCCTCCTCCTCCTCCTCGGAAGTCGAAGTCGTTCTAACCAAGCTGAATGCTGTTCAGCTGTAAACACAGTGGCTGTGCCGCTTAATCAGCATGTAGCTCAGTGGACTCGTCTGAAGCGCCAGCTCCGAGCCCATCCCTGGCTGGTGGCCCTTTGAAGCGAATGAGTCACCAGCTTTGAGCTTTTGGGGGCAGGATCAGGCTGCCGTAGCTGGAACTCCATGTCTTTAACACACGTCGCTACTGACTGCAGCCCCTGCGTGGCCATTAATATCACAAATGCCCACATGGGGTGACATTTTAACGGCATTGAGGAAGAAAATTGATTCATGGTGACTCAACGTTTCATTTTGGTATTAATCTTTCCTGGCCTGGAGTTCTTGTGGGGAAATAGCCCTGCCATGGGTCATTAGTGGGACACGGAAGCCTGATTTTCCTTGCGTGTCACTCTCCCATTGGTTGGCAGCGATGGTCTGCGATGGAACCCGCAGCCTCGGGTGCTGCAGAGTGCCGGCCCGGGCCACAGGTCCGGGCGTCTGTGTGCGGAGGGCTCCGTTTCCCTCCCTGGCCCACTTGCGCCTGGTTCTGAGCTGCTTCTGACCTCATGTGGTGCTCTTTGGCTCCCTCCCTCCCGAGGACCAGTCCGTTTTCCCCAGGGCACAGAGAGCCATAACCTGCCTCTGCGGATGGCACATCTGTTTTTGTTTTCCCCTGGTATTTTGTAAGTAAGAAGAAATGTGTGTAGGTTAAAGGGCCCGTGGAGGAGGTTAGAGATAAACACTGTAGGATGTGAAACTCTTCCATATGGGCGTGGGGGTGGCGGGGCGGGCGTGTCCATTGCCGAGCCTCTTCGCAGCGGGCCTCTGGTCAGCGTCAGAGCCTTGCAGTGTGCGCGGATTGCGCTGGAGGTGTGAAGGAGCTCTCATTTGAAAAGCGAAGGGATGCTTTTAGGACCCGAGCATGGTGGTGCTCGCCTGCAGTCTCAGCATTCAGGAAGCTGAGGCAGGAGGACCACAACTTTTAGCCCAGCCTGGGGCTGTGGCTTGATATGCAGACACTGAGTTCAATCTCCGGTACCACAGAGAAAGAAAGGGGAAAAAAATGGTCTCAGCACCCAGATAGTTATTTCCTCCTTCCCTGAAATATCTTAGTAGGAAGTCAGGGCAAACATCAATTTAAAGGAGAGAGAAATGATTGGCAGCAGTAAGCCTGTCGCTGGGGGTGTTGGTTGAGGCTGTTGGCATCCTTGCCTTCATATTCGTTGTCCAGTGGTTCCCTAATTTAAAGGTGAAGTCTTTTGCAAAAGTCTGAGTGTCCGTGCTTCGGGGCAGTGGCTTGCTCTGGAGTTGTTTGACGCGGAGTACAAAGCCCCAGGGCTGTGTTATTCCCCGCTGGAAACATTAGCGGACACATTTGACTCTGTACGCATGAAATCAGATTGGTTTACAAAACCCAGAAGTTTGCCAAGGATGCCCTCAGCGGAGCTTTTCCTTCCAGCCCCGCTGTTACCGGGCTTGCCAACCGGAGCAATTACTCGGTCAAAGGTCTAGCTGTTGCCCCCATCTTAAATAATGATTCGGTTCAGGTGCTGAGGAATGTGGGCAAAAATGAAGACACGTGTCGCTGGCTTCATAACGCACATCTATGCGGGACATAAATTACCGAGCAATAAAAAAGTTCTTGATTTAGTGTCTCTAGTAGAGGAAGCATTTCTGTAAGTCTCCAGTCCTCTTCATAATTTTTAAAGTTAAATTATTTGTAATTAAAAGCACTTGGCAAATAATGACTCATTTAAACCGGAGTTCTGATTCATTACTCTAATTATTGTTACCATGCAGTGCCCTTTGGCCTGGAAGTGAAACTCGTGTGCTCCTGACACCAGGGGTTAGCAGTGCAGGAAGCTGGAGCACTGTGTGTCCCCACGGTGACCAGAATAATTTAGTAATTGTCTAATTACCTGAGCAGTCTAATGCCACTACTAAAAATAGTATTAAAAAATTAAATGAAAGTCATTTTCTTTTTTCTTTTTTTTTTTTTTCAACCCATCTGGTCTCTATTTGGGGCAGCCATGTGTCACGGGTATGAAACGGGATTCTTCTGAAGTGATCCCATCGCAAATGGAACGTAGACCCCAGTAACTCCATAGGTGGATCCAGCTTCCAGAGTTCAAACTGTTGCAGGCGATCCTTTGTCCGAAACTGTGATTTAAAGTCTGGAACTGAGATCGGGCAGTTTGATATTTATTTCTTCTCGGAAATGGAGGAAGAAATTCCTGTCCATTGAGCACTCCTTGCCACCTCAGCAGTACTGAGTTATACATTTGTTCGTTCTTTCGGCAAGCGCCTATTTCACGCCAGGCGCTGCCCGGTGCTAGGAATGCTGATGAGTAACTTGCATGGACAAGCTCTGTGTTCCCACAGCCGGATAGCAGAGAGAATCATCAGGTGACTGAGCCCCTGTCAGGCACTGAAGATGGGAACACACAGGGGTCTCACGAGCACAACTTCCCTGGGGAGGGCAGGCGAGGAGCATGGCCTGGAGGCCCTGGATGGTCTCCTAGAGGAACTAGATTGGATTGAAACTGAGTGATGAGGCTGAGCAAGCCAGCCCTGCAGAGGTGTGGGGAGTAGGGTTCCAGGCAGAGGTCACTGCAAGTGCAAAGGTCCTGGGGCAGGAAGAGCTTAGCAATGTTCAGAGAGCAGAAGGGCCAGCGTGACTAGAACAGAGTGAGTGAGGCGGAGGATGGCATTGTAGGCAGGGAGCTGAGGCACTGGGTAGGGTGAGCAGGTGGGGTGTGTGCCAGGGAGGAGCCATCTGGATTTTGAGCTGTAGACTCAGTGTTCAGAACTACTAGTTAACAAGTAGGGTTCTGTTTTGCACTAGTGTCCCTAAAAAAATGATTTTCTTTTAGTGCTGGGGATTCAGCTCAGGACCTAGCGTATGCTGTGCCACTGTGCACACCCCAGCCCTTTGTTCTGCATTATCTCCCGAGGCCGTGCAGCCCTGCCGTCCAAGCAGGCCGAGGCCGACGAGGATTGGAAGGGGCTGCTGGTGGCCGATCCCCACCCCCTCCACACTCGGTTGGTGTTAAGCAGCCTTCCCGGGACCGAGGGGACTCTGGAGCCCACGCCTCCCATCTTCAGCACACCGCGGCTCGGGAAGCAGGCACTTTAGCGCCCATCCAAAAATAAGACTCAGATTGTGTGGCCTTCAGTGCTCTTGTTACCACTTGCTGAAACCATTTCCCCACGGCGTGGCCCCTTCCTGGCCCTTCCAAGGCTCAGCTGCATGCCGAGAGGGGTGGGGAGGACCGTGTAAGCATGGGGCTGCCCCTCAAGCGAGGGCTAGGGTCCGAGGTCCGTGTGCAAGGAAAAAGTCAAGCACAGTTAAAACGACTCTTCAAAGTCTGCACTAAGTAGAATGCTGGGTACCATCTTGCATTAGGCTCCTTCTGCCAGGGTTTCTCCAGCTGCTACTGCTATGCCTCTGTGTTGGTGAGCTTTATGTTGCTGGCACCAAAATACCTGATTTATACAACTTAAAGCACAAAACGTGGTTTTGGCTTATGGCCTTAGACGTTCAGTCCACGGTAAGGCTGGCTCTCCTGCTGTAGGCCTGCAGTGAGACAGAGACATCATAGCAGGAGGGTGTGGCGGAGGCAAGCTGCTCTCCTCATGGCAGTCAGGAAGCAGTGAGAGGCAGACAGCCAGAGAGGAAGGGGGCGGGGACAGGATGTTCCCTTCAGACCCGCACCCCCAAGGACTTGTGTCATCCACTGGGCCCCACTCCCCATAGCCACTGTGCTATGAACTCACCAGTGGATGAATCCACTTGAGTGTGAGGTTAGAGCTCCATGATCCATTCAGCTCCTAAGATCCCATCAGCCGGCAACCAAACCTTCAACACAGCGAGGCTTTGGGGGGGGACCTCAGCCATGATGGCCTCACTGGACCTGCCCTGGGCTGCCAGACTGATGGTCGTTTCTCTAATCAGCACCAGTTGAAGCCATTGCCTCCTGTTATTATCAAGAAGAGGGTACATTTAAAACAGTGGTTACAGGGGCTGGAAATTTAGCTCAGTGGCACAGCGCCTGCCCGGCAAGCACAAGGTGGTGAGTTTGATTCCTGGTACTGGAAAAAAACAAAACAAAACAAACAAAAAACAGTGGTTACACACTGAGGGGATTTAGGTCCCAGGAGACCTATGGCAGGGTCTGAAGATGATTCAGTCCCCTATCTGAAGCGGGGGGATTCTGCTGAACATTCTGTTTTTTTTTTTTTTTTTTCCCGGTACCAGGAATCGAACTCATGACCTCACGCTTGGCAGGCAGGTGCTGTGCTGCTGAGCTAAATCCCCATCCCCTTCTGGTGAACATTCTGCACAGCACAGGGCACCCCGCAGCAGCAAATGACCCTCCCTGGATAGCAGCGGTGCCAGGCAGAGAAGCCCAGCACTAAAATGCCAGAATCCCGTAGCGTAGCAGGGTCTGCACCGTGACACCTCTGTCCGCGCCCCCGGGAAGACAGGCTCACGCTGTCCACAGGCAGAGCCGCCCTCCTCACCTCATCCGTCAGCCTGTTCCTTTATTCCTTATTTTCCCACCATCCATAGGCGGTTGGAACCCTAAAACCGCGTGTCTCCTCAGGTCCTGCGCGTCGCTGTGGACCGCCTAGGAATCCCCCGTGTGGGGCAGCAGAGAGAGCAGGAGCTCCGCGGGGCTGTTGCGTCTGCTTCCCTGGCCCTTCCTGTCTCTTACTCGTTTCTCCTCTCCTTAGCAGTCCCAGGAGCCTCCAGCTCAGAAGGGCCCCGTGGTCACCACCAAGGTCCGCCGGACCATGAGCGGCCGCGTGCACGAAGCCGTGAAGGCCATCGCGCTCTGCCACAACGTGATCCCCGTGTACGAGTCCAATGGCGTGGCCGACCAGGCCGAGGCCGAGAAGCAGTACGAGGACTCCTGCCGCGTGTACCAGGCGTCCAGCCCAGACGAGGTAACTCCGGGGCAGGCGCCCGAAAGCCATGCGCTCGATATCCTTTGTCCCCCACTGGACTTCAGGGCAACGCGGACATGGATCTGTGCTTCACTTGTCATTCTGGGCTTTTCCCTTCAGTTTTCCCTCTTCCTCCCATAAAAAAATAATTTACTCTGCGGCCGGCGTTAGCGGGATTCTGCGTCTTCTGGCTGCGGGCAGGAGGGGCTTCTCTGGAGTGGAGGGTGGGCGGACCGGGCTGACTGCAGGTCCCCGTGGCCTGGGGCGCACACGCCGAGTGGAGCCCTGCGAGTCCTTTCCGGGGCTCACAGGTGAGGGGTCGCTGTGGTACCTCCAGCCCTGGCTGTCGCTCCTTTCTCGCTTTGTGGGGCAGCAGAATTTGTCCCCTGAGAGACCCCTCCTTGCAGTCTGCGTGGTGTTCGTGTGGCGACTCAAGTCATAAAGCCCAGCTCATCCGTGACCATTGCCCGACTCCGGTGCAGAGCCGGGGGAGCCGTGTGCAGGGAGGGCGGGGCAGGCGGAGGCCTGGCGATGCTGCGGATCTGCTCGGACTTCTGGGAACCCCGCTACCATTTCTCCTTCCTGTGGCTCATCTGGTTTGGCCTGCTGAGGCTTGGCTTTCCCCTTGGGAGTGGGAGCTGGTCCCAGGCATTTCAGTTGAGAGCAAGGCCCCTTGTCTTGGTAGCACCCGGTGGGATTCGAACCGCAGCCAGTTCCGGTGTTGGTGAGCCGGCCAGCACCTGCGCGGGTCCTGGCCTCCAGTCGCTGAGCCGTCTCCGTCCCGTCTGTCCCCGCTCTCTCTCCCTCCAGCCTTTGGTGTGTTTGCTTTAAGGCTGTGCAGAGGTTTTTCCAGGAGGGTAAACCTTTCATGGAATGCCTTGTGCTTCTTGGCTTCTTGTTTTCCAAGAGAACAGGGCTTTATCTCTCTTGTCCATTAACTGTGGTTGGATGCAGATTTCCCTTTTGTTCTAAGTTCTGAGTCATGATTAAAAAAGCAAAGAAAAGAGGTATTTTCCCTTTGACTTTGGTATCTCCGTAGAGGTCACTGTTACCTTATTGGCTTATGTGTGCATGTATTTTATAACTGTTATTACAATTATTGCATATCCATACTAAAACACGAGCCGGGCGTGGTGCTGCACACCTGTAATCCCAGCACTTGGGAGGCTGAGGCAGGAGGATCTTTGAGAGTTCGAGGCCAGCCTGGACTACAAAGTAAGCTCAAGGCCAGCCTGAACTGCATGACCCTGTCTCAAGAAGAGGAAAAAAACCAAAACAAAACAAAACCAAAAAAACTACAAGAAGCTATAGATCAGGAAAGAAAAATGTAAACGTTTACCCTGCTAAAATGTAAATGTTAACCTCTTACCAAATCGCCTTCTAATGAGTGGCAGAGGATTCGTACTGCAAAACACCAGTGCGTTTATGTAAAAACATCACGTGATGCAGAAGGCTGACTGAGATTGAAGTGGGTCTTTCAGGAGGCCTCCGTTTCCCGATCCCCGAAGGGCTCCACTCCGCGTGGCCAAGTCTGGCTCGGACCTTTGAAATTCAATATCAAGAAGACGTTTCCAGTCGTGGCGAGGTCAGTTTATGCAGCTCACATAGGAACCACTGTTGGTCTGACTGTGGGGCTGCTGGCGTAATCTCCACCAGTCAGGGTAGGATTTATTTCCTGTAACAGAAAGCAGGATTTCCTAAATTTGTTTCCTGTGCGCATTCCGCTTTGGAAGCCTTGAAGTGTCTTTATTCAGCTATCGATTACAGCCTGGGGCGCGGGGCCCCCTGCTGCCTACTGTATCCGTCTGAGCAGGATAAACGCGCCCCCCACGTTAGCCAAGCAGGTCCCAGCCCTTTGGCCTCCCTCATTTCTAGGGTGTGTTGGAAGTGTTTCATTTTGGGTGGTACCGAGCTACATCCCCAGCCTTTAAAAAATTTTTTTTCCTATCTTGAGACAGGATCTTGATAAATTGCCTGTGCTGAGCTTGAACTTACGATCTTCCTGCTTTAGCTTCTCAGAGTTCTGTATACTACAGGCATGTACCATCCCTCCCAGCCCTAAATTTTTATATATACATGGAAATGAAGGTGAAGTGTAGAATTACACTCTAGTACCTTTCGTTAAATAGGAAGCGGGGGAAATTGAATTAAGTAACATCCTTTAAGAAGTCATTATAGTTTGCATAATTCTATAGGACTTACGTGTTTGGATGTGTGGGCATGTGCACATATGTGTATATGTGTTCATATGCATAGGTAGTGTGAGCCTATTACATGTGTGATAATTAAAACATTCTGGGCATAGTGGCACATGCCTGTCATCCCAGGTACTCTGAAGGCTGAGGCAGGAGGATCTCAAGTTTTTAAAAATTTAATTCAATTCTTTTTTGTCTTTTTGAGACAGGGTCTCACTATGCAGTTCAGGCTGGCCTTGAGCTTACTTTGTATCCCAGGCTGGCCTTGAACTCCCAACGATCCTCCTGCCTCAGCCTCCCGAGTGCTGGGATTACAGGCACGTGCCACCACACCAGCTCAAGGATCGCAAGTTTGAAGCCAGCCTGGCCAACTTAGTGAGACCCTGTCTCAAAACAGAAATAGAAGGGTTAGGGGTGTAGCTCAGTGGTAGAATACTTGCTTGGCACATGTGAGGCCCTGAATTCCATCCCCAGTATCACGTGCGCACGCACACACACAAACACACACACAAAACGCAATTGTAACTTACAGGCAGTTTTGGACTTGGCTTTTCGTAACTCCTGTTCGAAAGTCTGTCAGTTTGTGGAGCCCCATTGCACCTGTGAGCTCACAGAGGCCCGAGCTTTGCTGACACGTGCTGTGTGTTCCTGTAGTCTCTCAGCACCGTAGACCACAGGGAATGTTTCGGGGGTGGGAGAGTCTCCTGCTGACATCCGCCGCAGAGAAGAGCCCCTCCCCCATCCCGTCCCCTCCCCTCCCCCAGAGCCGCTGCAGCTGGGCTCAGCTTCCGGGTCTGACTCCATCAGTGCAGCGAGGGCTCCTTAGGGAAGACCCAGGAGAGGAGGCCAGGGCAGCGCACTGCAGGGCGTGAGGGGTGCCACCTGTCAGGTCCCTGCCCGTGCCGGACACTGGCTGAGGCTCTGTCGCAACACCAGAGTTACCACGGTTGTGCCCATTTCTCAGATGCGGTGTGAGCTGGCTGGAGAACATTCCCAAGGTCACATGGCTGGTAAGGTGACAGCCAGGCAGCCCACACCCAGAGCGGGACTTGTAACCCACCGCACCCTTGCCTTTCTGCGAGATGACGGCTGCAGAGGGCCTCGCAAACGCTTGAAGTGCTTGAGTCACGGTGCCGTGTTAGCGGAATGCAGGGTTAACATTGGATAAAGCCCCGGCGTCTTATTCTTTCTTGTTGTTGTTTTTTGTTTTTTTTTGAGATAGGATCTTGCTGTGAACTCGAAGTGATCTTCCTGTCTCAGCCTTGAGCTCAAAGTGATCTTCCTGTCTCAGCCTCCTGAGTACGGGGATTTTTTTTTTTTTTTAATGGTGCTGGGGATTGAACCCAGGGCCTTGTGCATGCAAGGCAAGAGCTGTACCACTGAGCCACACCCCTAGCCCTGGGATTATTCGTGACTGCCCTGCTACTTTAGTTCCTTTGGGGGCCCTGTTCTGAGCCAGTGTTGAGAGGCCGTGTATCTTGCAAGTCCAGTGGGATTCTACGCTCCTCCCTTCCCTCCCCTCCTCGCCCTCCTTCCATTTTGGGAAGCTTCTCCCACCGCACTCTGGAGATTGTCCTTCTGAGTCTCACCTTTACCACTGCTCTCTCAGGAAGGAAGTGAGTGTGCTTCTATGGCCCACAGCAGCCCACACAGCTCGGTGCAGGCTGCGGGCTGGCTGCTAGGGGAGCGGGTGCCGGTCCCGGGTTGCAGCCCGCACACGGAGCGGCCTTGGCCTCCACGGCGTCCGGCGCTGCCATCCCCCACGGGTGATGGCAAGGCACCGTGCGGAGACAGCTATCCAGAAGTACGTTCCGGTTTTCATGTTCCCCCAGGCTTTACACAGTAAAGGTAAAGAGCACACATGTGAAAAAAAAATCATCCGTAACTCCCAAATTCAGTGAGAATCACAGGTACCATTTTGCTGTTTTTCTTTCCTAGCTTTCTTCTGTACAAAATGTTAAATACAGTTTGGACATCTGTAATCTAGAAGTCTGAATATCACAGTGTTTTAAAATCCACAACTCTCTGAGTGCTGACATGACGTCACAAGTAGAAAACGCCACACTTGGTCTCCTGTGATAGGTCACAGCCCAAACAGAGGCGCGTGGAAAATACTGAGTAAAGTTACCTTTGGACCTATGATGTATATGCGAAAGGAAATGAATTTCATATTAAACTTGGGTGTCACCTTAGTGTATTTCATTGTGAATATACCACTACTCCCAAATCTGGGAAAAACCTGAAATTCCAAGCACTTCTGGTCCCAGGCGTCGTACTTCAGGGATACCCCACCTGTGTTCAGTGTCATTCCACGCCCCGCGTGTCTTTGTCCACTCTGTAGCGTGTTGTGCTGATCCTTCCCGGTGTGACCAGCCCTGGGAAGGAGCTACTGAATGCTGCACTGCGTCTACCACTGACTGTTTCCTCTATCTCCCAAGCCTGGCATTTAGGAAGTCTCCCACCTTGGACATTATGAGTAACGCCTGCTCTGCTGCCTTCTGCATGAGCTCTGCACACCTGACTGTGTAGTAAGAGGTCCCAGGTATCATGTTTTGCACCTCCTTAAACTTGTTGCTGAGCGTGGTTATAAAAACCACCGGGAAACTTGAGCCCACGTCGGGGCGAGGGTGGCAGTCGTGGGTTCCTGTTGTAGCTATGAGGTGGTCTTTCCCGAGCCCACCTTCGTCTCTCAGTGAACCTAAAGTGTACGCAGTTCCCTAAATGCCTTCTTGTCCCCTGAGCCTCGGCTTCGGGCTCAGGGACAATGACAGCATTCAGCTGTCTGCACGGAGCTCAAGGGTGTGG